TTCAAATTAGAAAAAAACCTCTTATTAGAACTTGCTCTTTGAGAAATTGAGTAATGGAGACCGACGAGGAGAGTAAACAGAACGAAGTAGTTGCAATTGAGCTGCCGCCTCCTCTAGGCTGGATTAAGGTGTTGTTTTCCTTTTTGTAAATTTATGCTGGAATTTTTTTGATATAATTTATTTTATGAGTTCCGTGTTGATTTGAAATTCTAAGTGCATGCTGTTACATTAGCAAGTGTCGGAGATTATTGATTTTGTAAATTTGCATCTACTCTGGTACGGGATTTTGTAAATTGAATCTTAGATTCAATATGTATTATTACGATCTGCCTTAAATAAGTGTAATTTGAACTGGGATTTTGTAAACTACTATGGGATTTGTAAACTAAATATGTACAATTAATGATCTGGGTTTGACTTAATTAGACCACTTTTTCCCAGTAGAATTGTAAGTTCTACTGCATTTAATACACTAACAGCGTACGTTATTTATATAATTCACAAAATTCCATCACATTTAATACACTAACAGTACTATCAAAAAAAATCAGCCCGTGCATTTGCACGGGCAAAGACTAGTGTCACAAAAAGCATTAATAAGGGTCCGTTTGATTATTTGCACGGGCAAAGACTAGTTATATAAAAAATCTTAAATCTTTAAAAAGAAGAAATTTTTTGAATGGCATTGAGAGGGATATGGCAGCTACAAAAGTTGATTATGAGTTATTGTGACTGGTGGTGGCAGCAAGGGTATCAGGTAAAAATATTTATACTTCGTGAGTTTAATCTCCTTTCGTATGTGCCTTTTGCATTTCTATCTAATTCTTGGGTTTTTTTAAAGCTTTATTTTTGTTCAAAAATAATAGACAATGCTACCTACCCTTGCAAGAAGAAGAAAAATGCCTTTTGCATTTCTATCTAATTCGTATGTCTATGCTGTACACGTCTCGACAATCTCAATTTGATCCTTCAATTTATTCTCAATTGATGCTACCTCTATTTGTTGGCTTATCTTACTTCTTTTCTTATCTATTCTAATGTTTATCTGTATTAACACCCTCCTTTCCACTATGTACATTACATGTTTTGTCCTTTAACAACCTAGTACTTAGCACCATCACACGGAATTCTAGTAGCATTCTTCACTTCATCCAACACGCTATAAGAGTATCTTCAATGGTGGCATAAAATTAAGTATAAATTGACATTTATAAACTCATTTTTATATCCAAATGAATCTAAATTCAAATTCAGTTACAACTGAAATATCTAAAAAATTTGAATGCAAGTGAATTGGTAACTTTTTGTCTCTTATGGGTCCATGGGTACATCTAAAAAAATGTTACATCTTTTTTCACAAAAATGCACTTTGTATCTCTCTATTGGAGAGGTTTCATGACTGTTTTGAAGATTTAAATTACAATTTAGATCTAATTTAGAGTATCATTAGAGATGATCTAATATTGTATGTTACATACTATTCTATTCTTTGTTACTTGTTTATTTCTAACATAGATAACTAACTCGATCGTGCTTGGGCACAACATGATAAGATGCTCAGACATGTCGCTTCTTGAAATTCTCAACTCCTTGAGACACTTGAAACTTGTATGCATTGCTCTGAAATTAATGAATACTGTTATTTAATTCAACTGGAATTATAAATTGAGTCTATGTGACATTAGTGTTGTATTAAATGATAGGTTAAATAAAATAAGTCATTTCACATAGATTGGGGTTACAACTGTAATGGAACTAAACAACATTACTCTAAATTAATAGAGCAAATTAAAGATCTTAGATTTCTAGAACACTTTCAACTAAATTTAAACCCCCACTTGCCACAAATTGTATTAAAATTTGACACCCCCTTTCCATAAAAAATAAATAAAATTATAATTATACTTCCATTTTCATGCTTTTCCAACTAATTGGCTCGATGAATCCGAAAAAACTAACACTCGTACGTATCTAAGTCGACTAAGAAATGCACACACGCTGGCACGAAATGACTTGTACAAACACTGAGCACGCTTTTTTCACGGATCATGAGGGTTTACTCCATAGAAATGCCTCACATGAAGTATAGTTTGCAGACTTTAGGATGCAAGTTCCTTCATGCTCCATGGTTCTTGATACTTCACCTTAAAACATCATAAAATTTACATATTTAATTATGTCTTTCTTCGGCATGTGAGATATTGCATTTTGGCTTTCAAGTTTAGTTGCATCTATGCCCCTATTTGACCTCCATTATTTGAAATTTTAATTGTTAAATAGTGTTTTTGTTTTTTTTTTTTTTTTTGAAGAAGAAGAATTTGTGATTGAAAAAAGAAGAAAAAGTTTGAGGATTACGTGTAACATTATTTTATTGAAAAATGTGTGGTTAATAAATAGAGAGAAAAAAATGAATTATAATTTTAACGAGAGCCTAGAAAAGTCGAAATGTACAAGTTTCTGGAAATGAAGATCTTATTTTCAAGAAGCATCCAAGAATATCGGTTTCACAGTCCTATCTTGTACAAATTTATATCTTCGAAATGTTTGTTAGTACAAAATAGTTTATATCCATCTGAAATTGAAAAGCTGGTTTTTTTTTTTTGCCTCATTTTCTTAATTTTTATTTTTATTTTGGGAGAGCTGTTGATGAATTTGTTTTGGAGCTCTTACAGTTGTATTTTCTCTTCGTTCATTTTCTTTTAGGCAACCACCGTTCCCCCTCCCCGACCCCAACTAAGAGCCCTTCATACGACAGTATAAGCCACATTTTGGCTACTACTGTAGAAGAAAACGAAAGAAGCACAGTCAAACATGCTCTAAAATCCTCGACTCGTGTGACAAATATTCTGCAAAGTAACATAATTTTTTGTTAAAATCGAGGGCAACTTTCTCAAGGTTCCCTCAACCGAGTATCAAGTTGATCATTGCAGATTACTTGTGTCCTCCAATTGAACAAGTCAAAAAGAAAGAAACAGGCCATAGCATTGAATTAAAACTTCAAACTATATATTTCAGCGGTTAACTAATATTCAGCAGTGTGATGAATGTTCTAATAATACGTACCAAAGGATTAAAAAGGTGGAAACAAGATATAAACAGTGCAATGGAAGTAACCTTTAATCAAGTAGATAGGCAAGTTCAGCATAGACTCGTATATCTGTCTCTACATCTTGGTTGAACTGAAACCAGATTGCGTCAAAAACATTGCCAGAAAACTCTTGTGAATAATTCTAGATCTTCTTTCTTATTATCCCTACAAAATTCTGTAAATGGCATAAAGAGGAACAAGACCAGGTTTTAAGGAAATAATGTTACATAAGCACCAATTGGTTGGAACCCTTCTATGTCAGGAGAAATTAATTTGGGTTCATTTTCAGTGACTGGTCGCAGCAATTTGCAGACAAGCACAAAATCAAGCATCACCGGCAGCTTCAGCAGACTTTTTCTCTCTTTGTTTTTCCCTTTTTTTCTTGTTTTTCAGGGCATTCTTGCTCAGATCTCTGCTTTGGTTAAGAAAGTAGCATTCAGTAACTAAGCAGAAAGCTTTATGCATAAGAGAAAAACGTGTCAGCCATACTTACCCACTAGGACTTCCTCCAAACAGCTGTACGAGTTAAAACGTCAAAGCATCAGTGTTCGCATTGACAGAGAAAAAGTAAAAATAAAGCTGCCGTGCAACGTATAAATGAACTCGGTAGACCAATAACAAGTCAAGAAATTGCATTAAAAATGAATAGGGTCTTACATCTAGCTATTCCCATCAATTATTCAAGATATTGCCAAAGAAAGAGTTGTATTGAACGATTTCTAGCATGGGGAAAAAACTGTTGCATGACTCTCTCTTAACCCTTTTTGAATGTTCAAGAATAATTTTACCTTGCAGGTCGCTCCCAGATAGCAAGGTGACTCTTTTTCACTAAACTTGTTCATAAAATTTTGAAAAGAAAATGGTGTCTTCCAAGTATCAAGAAATTTTTTAATAGAAAACATTAATTAGGATTTAGCAAAATTCAACAAAGAATTGCTTGTTGGTTTCTATCATCTTTTATATATGGTTCTTCACTAATATAGGAAATTAAGAGGAGCTGTTACTATTTAATTATGGATGGGGAAGAAGCCAATATATAGTGGTGAATACTGGTTGATGTGGTGGAAGTTGATGACGGTCTAAAAAGATATTGGTGCACTTCAGATATTCTTTGGTGATGTTATCATGGCTTTGCCCTGTCAATAAAGGAGATTTAAAAAGCCAGGAGGGGGAAGCAATGATAACTAGTGTGTATTCATTAGAATATGAAACTACACGGAAGGTCAAGATGTTTCAAACACAAGAAGGGAGGTCCCCACGATTGGTTGCATACTCGTGGTACCATCAGAGGACTTGGCCCTTGGGTCTATTCTTATAGGATAGCAAGAGAAACCTACGCTACATAAATGAAATGGTTGAGTCCATTCAAGATACTAATGCGGGGTACTAATTGAAAGGGTAATTGCATTTTACCCGCCTATGATTCTTCAAAATCTGCTAAGTAATTGAGAGTTATCAAAATCACAATAAACTCCTTGTACTTTTCAAACCCGGTTGAATCACTCTAAATTTTGTCACCAAGTAACCAGCACAAATGAGGGAGTTGAACGGCAAGGCTTTGGCAACCTTGAGGCAGCAAGTAGCTAACTCTCTAAACCTTAAAGAGCTCAATTGACTTATTATCAAGTCAATTTAACAGTCCATTAAAGTCAAAGTAGATAACAACAAAGCTTTGAATTGCTCGGGGTTAAAATGCAATTTTTTACTCAATCGATTTAGAACTTGCGCATACCTCGGCCTGTACGGCAGCTGCAGCTTTAGCATGGGGAGGGCGATAAGCAGCAGGTTTTTGTGAAGGAGGATTGGCTGGAGTAGCTTTTGTGGAGGCCTGTACAGATTTTGACCCTGTTGCTGAACAAAACACTGTGAATTCATTTTCTTGGCAATTAAAAAACACAAAAATCAAACTTTCTCTGCAAAGGGCAAATGAAATGAAAAACCTTTTGTTTTCGTCTCTTCCACTTTCAACGAGTCAATTGACTTCACAAGTTCTGCAATATCGCCGAACTTAACAGGTGACTCTGGTTTCCAGTCAGCCTGTGAGAAGAGAGCATAAAAAGTCAGCAGACAGAATCAAATTGATCACACATCAGAATGAAAGGCACCAACCTGAAACAGTTTGTCAAACATCTTCTTGTAATACAATGACCCATTGTGGTGGAAGATTTTGATCCTTCAACAAAAAAATGAAAACATAAAATGATTACCAGCTAAAATGTACAATTATTTCTGCACAAAGCAGCCAGAACACTTTTACCTCCCTACCATTGTATTATAACTCATTGCTGATGGACTTAAAGGTGAGATTATGCGGAAATTAGATTTGGAATGTAGAATATCTTTTTTACCAGAATAATCTTATGCACTGCAGAGCTGCATTTGTTTCATCACCTCATTATTTATCTGAGGTATTTCAGTACCAGTGGGATAGTGAAATTATAACAATCAATTGCATGTTTACAACTAACATTGTAAGCCAACTCGTATTCACTGACGACAAAGACCCCATCTTAGAGACAGAATTACACCATTTCTATGCTAACTGGAAGCTGAAAGCTCTCATCAACAAGGAATTGTGCTGATGCAATGAAACAGGCATTTTTCGTTTCAAGCAGCAACGCCCTTTCAGCACATGCTAGGAGGGTTTTTGACACCCATTTTTTGGATAATAGAATTTTTGGAATAGTGATTGATGGGAGAATTTGTGGTGGAAAAGTTATGAAAAGTTTTAGATTTGTGTGTAATATTATTTTATTGAGAGAATGTGTGGTTAAAATGAAGAAAGAGAAAAAAAATGAGAAAGAGAATAAGATGAGAATTGGTGTCAAACATGAGCTAAATTATAATGATAGAACCCTCTAATTTGGGCAGTAATTAAACTCAACAATTGAACATAAACTGTATTTTTGTGTTATTTATATTGAGCACAGAATTGAAGAAATAAGAATATAACTACAAGAAAATGAAATGAATTACACACTCAAGGCATTTGAGAGGCCTAGACTCTCCCAATTATTCTCCAATTTCTCAATCTTGAAATGAACTCTCCACCACCTATTTATTGTGAATTTGTGCCAAACTTCCCCACGTGAATTTGCTTGAATATCCATTTATGCCCTTTTGCTTGGTCAGTTAATTTTGATATTCCTATCAGGCTTGTCTTTTATATTTTTCATAGAAATTGAAGGTTCATCACACTTAATTTGTTTTTCCACTGCACAGTAACAGGATAAAACAGAGAAGCTTACCCATTGTCAACCTGAAGCCTTGGAGCTGTTGTGGCAGTCATAAAATACTGTCCATCTGGGGACCATTCACTTGTCACAGATAATTCAGCCTTTGTAGTCCCAAGCTTCTGCTTTTCCATATAGTCCCAAAATGCCTGAAAGGCAAATACGAACTTTATCATGGGAAACACGCAAAGAAGTACTCAAATAAGTAGACTAAAACTATGAGCCTGTTTGAGCCCCTTTTTTGCCCAAAATGCAGTATGGAATAGTATTTTGATGGAGAATGTTTGGTTAAAAAATAAGGAAAAATTTTTGGTTTGTGTATAAATATTATTTTACTGAAAAATGTGCGGTCAAAATAAGGGAGAGAAAATGTATTTTGAAAATAATGGGGTCAAACAAGGGCTATATTAAATTATCAGAAATTGACCTATGTGATGATATTAAACAAACAGGCATTTCTAACAAACAACTTTACTAGTTATGTAACTAACTAAATTTATAAAGCATGTAGACAATGAACACTAGCAAAAAAACACAGAAGACAATTGAGCTGACAGAGAGATAAAGAGAGAGGTGAGGAAAAGGATAGTTGCAACTGGGCACAAGACAGCATGACGAGAAGCACATTGCTAATATTCTACTCGACGCTAGGTTGCTCGCTTAGTCACATAAATGATGGTGTTGCTACACATGGGATGCACAAATAGCTAGACGCGAAAGGTAATATGATTTACATTTCAATCCATATCCAGAACCCATGTAACTCTAATATGATGTGACCTTCTCACCCAAAAAAATATCAGTCAAATGGCCTTTATCGTCATTATCCAATTCTACGACAACATTAACTCATCTTGCATTTGGTCAGTTTTTAGCATTAGAATGACTTAGAATGGGTAATTTTAATTTCTATCCATAAGTTTTGAGTTAAATGTCAAAATAGTCCTAGAAGTTTTTACAAATCACCAATTAAACCCCTAGTACCATTAAATTTGTGAGAAATTTCATTTATCAGCAAAGACAAATTGAGTACCAAAACAGATTCACTGTAAGAAAAACAGAAAAAAGGCAAGATGAAGACAAAATTAAAAGAGAGAGAAAATGCAAAATAGAAAACTGAAAGAGGAGAAAAAGGAAATGGGAAAAATTAAAAGACAGAAACAAAAGGAAAAAAATACCAAAAATCCTTTCTTCCTTTCCTATTCCTCACCCAACCCTTAACTCCAGTTCGACCATCAACTCTTTCCTTCCCCATGTCAGCTCTGCCCCTGTTCATACTTCTTCCTTACTATTAACAGTTCTCTTTCCTTAGTAGCTCACCTAAACCTCTCCCAATCCCTTCTTGCATTTGCAGTCCCACCCTTCACCTATCCCCCTCTGCAGGCCAATCTGTTCCTCCCAATCCAAACTCTCTCCCCACCAAACTAATCACTCACTACTGTTGTGAGCCGGCAAATCTGGGGTTGAGAGGTAATGAACATATTACAAGAGGGAGAGAAAGACACGCATTAAGTTGGGCTAGGGTGGTAACAGAAGACTTGATTTCCTTTGACCTTTAAAAGATTTCCCAATAAATCAAGTTATATGGCGAAAAAGAACCCGCATAGTCAAAACCACCGTTTAAAAAGGTTAAAAGATAATACATGGAATTAACTGTAAACCATCTAAAAATATCTAAAACATTTAACAAAATAAAAGGCCTAATTTGCAATCAGAACCATAAAATTGATCGACCAAGTACCTAAAAATAAATTAACAGTATCTAATAAAATGATCAGTAGCGCACTACTATAACTGGAAGTAAAAGAAAGAGAACAAGAGTGAAGTTACTCAGCACAAGTCTCCTACCCAAAAATTACAACTTTACTATTGGAGATTTTATTTGAGTCCTTCACTTGTTCTCATTTCTGATCTCCATTGCTTTTCTTTTCAACTTTTATGTTTTAATTATGTTTGGAACTCAAACATGTGCTCTTAAAATGTTCTACAGTGTGCAAAATTCAACCTCAAAAGCTGGGGCTATGAAGAAAGGAAACAATCCTGTTAGTGACAGGAAAAGCCTAAGTAGTGCAAGCCTTAGCTGCTTGAGGCTTATGCTGTGAGGCAGGTGCTTTATTAAGTCAAAGCATCGCTTTGGCACTTTGAAAACGCTAGTGAAACTGAGTTTATTGGCAGTGAGACTCTTATTATGATCTCATTTTTTCAACTTAGTAGTGATTATGGTGGTTTACATTCATACTTGATTTTCATTTTTAAATTTAATTATGTGCTTGTTCGGTACAACTTAAAATCCAATTAAAATTGAAAATATGGCCGTTATTGGGTCCCACCCGTCTAATAAAAGTCAACAATAACGACTAATTTTTCAATTTTAATCCAATTTTAATCTCTACCGAACACGCCCTATGTCTTTAAAGGATTTATCCTAAGCAGTGGGTGATTTTGATGGGGGATCATATCTTCTAAATCAGAACTAGATATACATGATCCCCATAAGCATAACGACTAAAAAACCAGAATTGATGCTAACAATCAATTCAAGCATTAAAAAAATTAATGAAGAAGAAGTTGATTGAATAAAAACCTTATGATCTAAAGAGAAAACATTTAAGCTCACAATCTAGAAGAAACTACCAGAATATCACACTACGAAAGAAAGGAATTAAAATGTACCATGTCACCGGGTAAGTTCCCAAAGCCTGCCACACATATAACTGCACACCACGTTATTAAGGACACAGAACAGTGACTGTGAAAACGAAAATTAACCAGCAATCTTGGCACATACTACCCATTTCCCAAAATGAAACAAGCTAATGAACTTAAATGAAAGAGAACACAAAATACAGTAGAACATTTCATTATTCTTTTAAAGGATACACTTCCCTTTTGGATTCCATCTGATAGTATTGTAAGGGCCCGTTCCAAGCTCAAGTAGAGGATTGCACTTCTTGTCAAATATTGTCACCATTGCAGGCATAACTGACGTCAGTCAAGGCACACAAAAAAGTACCCAGAACAAGAATCAAAATGATGAGGTCAGCAATAAAGGAATTATTTTCTGAACAAAATTTCCTTCCCAGAACTTTAAAAGATTTAGGCCTTTCTTTGCATGTGTTGGGATGATTCAGCCTAGAATCTACAGAATCAGAGCCAGTGAGTCTAGCAATATGTATCTGCTATATTTGCTATCCATCTGGGGGGAAAAACTTCTGATCACCCTTAAATGGGTCGATACATCTGCAATCATAGTTCTATTGCAAATACTTAAAAGCTATCACAATATAAAGACGTTTTCTGGAAAGAAATGTGACCTTATGCAAAATTTAACAGTCCCAATACTGAATGATTCTATGCCATTTGGCTTTAAACTTCTTTTACTGGTATGTAAATGGAGAACATAATAATCGTGGAGTGGGTGGGAACAGGGGTGGGGGTAATACTAATAGTAGGATACATCCATAAACCACTGCAAATTCTTTGCCAGAATATGACCATTGCACATCATGTACAGGGCCTTCTTTACCTGCCAAAGTCTCCAACAATGACTTACTTGGCACTTTTTAACGATATTTAAACAAACAATACATAGCAGACATTGAGGACGCAGTAGAGAGATAGTTATGAGATGATATTACGAAGTGGCACGAGTCCTTCATGAGTTCCATCAGTAGTCAAATAGTTCAATTTTGTCTCCCCGTAGTAACTTTGATTGGTTTTATCAACATCTGACTGCACAACAACCAGAAGCCCTGTGGAATCACAGTTCCAGTTCAGTTGTACTGATGAGCAGCGAAAGAAACTGCGTCTAGCAACAGGCTGACTCTGCGATTCCTTTCCACGAGCAAATATTTGAACATTGGCAGGCATTCCCTACAAGGGATAAATGAACTAAAGAATTATGTTTCTACATATACGTTCACAAAAAATAAAAATTAAATACGTTACGATAATTGAAGAGAATTCATAGTTCCAAAATCATTTTCGATCTATTTATTACTACTTCCCAAACTTCTAGAAGATGTATTCAATTTGGTAATTTCATAATGTAGCCACAACACTTCAAGCTCTAAGCAATCCCAAATAAAATTCCTTCTAAAGATTTCACTCTAGTTCTCAAAGATTTCTTTTTTCTACCTATGGGTATGATGTCTCCAAGTGTTCTTTTCTTTCTTTCTTTCATATTGCAAAAGATGAAGTCTGGCATGAAATTCGTGCTTATATATTTATTTTTCAGACTCAAGAGGACAAAATACAGAAGAAACATCATAAATTGATATGGAAAAAGTGTTCATTGACAGAAATTGACAGGAATCAGTATTTATTTTTGCATAAAATCACCTAACGTTAAAAGCGATAGTTATTTTGGTCCATAATAACTAGGAAAAACAGTGGAGAGGAATGCAGTTAACTTCAGTAAAATAGACCAAAGTTTTATTGAAAACCTTGGATTCTGGAACAAATGATGCCACATAAGACCCGACATTTCTAGAAAGCTCAAATGCAGCTATGCTAGGAACTCTGAGCCGATTAACAATCCCTCTGGAGAAATCTACAGGGTCAAAAAATTGTATTTCATTGGTTGCCAGACGACATGCCACAGCTTCATCAGAGCTGAACCTTATCACCGGCCTAAAACAAGCAAAACAAAAATAAAAATCAATCAATCAGCGAAAATTTCAACAACTGCGCCGTCAAATCACAGAATAACACATCAAAGCATAACAAATACCATGTTGCTTTAGTCATATTCTTCTGAGAAAGCTGATAAGAAGAATCTCCAGTATCTATCTTCCACAGAACCACATTCTTCTCCTGCGGGGACGTAGATTTCTGAAAGGTTTGAAGATAACTCCCACGTGGTGATATAGTAGCCGCAAGAACATTGGGAACTTGAAGGGACCTAATCTCTCTCAAGCTTTTGCACTCATATATGCTAACCAAGGAGTCCGATTTCATAACCATGAGTTTTGATCCATCCTCGCTGAATTTTGCGCTGGTACACTGGACTTTATCGAGCTTGATTCGTGGCTGGCCATTGGTGAATGGAGGTCCATGCCAAATAACAAAGCCCTCTGGATCTCTCACTAAAATGTCCATAGATGGTGAGGGTTCTGCAACCGCCATTAATGGGCAGTGGAAGCTACTCTAAAATTTAAGGGTTTTGGAGCAGATACAAATTAATTAACGTACAAATCTAGAATCCCAATTTGTAGTAAAGGGTCGATTTTTCTGTCCTACTCTTGATTCTTTTGAATTTACTGGAAAATGCTTCTAGTTCTAGCCATTAACGAAATTAACCTAAGGAAAAATGTCACCATAGGTCCCCAAAGGTATTGTTTGGTTTCATGTCGATCATATAACTTTATTTTATTCTAATTTTACTATACGACTTATACTTTTGTTTCAAATCGAAAGTTCCTTCAACGCTATTATCAAAAGTAACGGATAAAGTTACCAAGCCAACGGAAATAATTCGGTGACTGGTTTTAATAGCATCATTGCCCATGTCATTTGTAATTTTTTGATACTAGATAACATATTAGTTTTAAAAATTGACACTCTGAAGCAACCACACTTCACAATTTGATTAGTCACATTTAGTCAATCAAGAATTTTCGATGTATTTTTGTATATATGGAAAAAAAATACAAAAATGAGAAGGAAATATCATGTCCTATGAGCATTTCACTAGGAGTTTTCCATATCCGAGAAAAAATCCATCCCCCTCTTTCCTTTTTTGCACGAATGTTGCCACACGAGGGACATGGGCGGCGTAACTTGTTAACTTTAACATGGGATAGATAGATAGATAGGGTTGGACATTGGGTTGGATTGGATTGATTTTGCACATAATTTAAATCGACCTAACTGGTTAGTTTTGGACCAATTTAAAATCGACTCGATCAATTCGGTTCTACTCTCCAACTTGACTGACCTAACTCGATTCAAGTTAGATCAAGCAACCAAACAAGATGGAATTTTACAAGATAATGTTCGTTCTCACTGAAAGTTATATTAAAATTTCAATCAAATTTAACAATTAATTTTAACTAGACATTTATGGAATTCATAACTTTTCAGTCATAGATGTTTCAAAAAATATTTATTGTACTTTTTGACTCAACAATAACCCACGTGTTTTTTATCAAGTCAATGATAAGACAAGTTTGATATTTATGGACCTAATGTAAGAATTCTTCTCTATTTTCCCTTTTTTTTGTGGAACAATGCTATTCATCCCCAGTGGGGATGTATCCCCAATTTATGTGAATGTAAATGATTGGTTAAATGATAGGTGAAATTAAATGACTTATTTAATTTCACCTATCATTTAATGGCACATTAACGTCACATAGATTGGGGATGAATAGTATTTCTCTTTTTTGTGGGGTGGGGATAGGGGTGGAATATATGAAAGTAACTTTTGAAATTCATTATTTATATATCATAAATGTAAGTCTAATTTCCAATTATGCGACAAGAAATGCGAGACTTGAGTTTGGCCCTAACTCCCATTTTCAATTTTGCGGAGTTCACGAGGTGCAAACACAAAACCTCTCTCTTTCTCTTTCATCACTCCTTGCTTCTTCACCTTTTGCATTACCCTTCAATACATTGCTTTACTCTTTGAGTTCTACCTACAAACATCATAGCAGTGTTTAAGCGAAATGATGTGGATTACAAGATCGATGTTTCGGCCACTGATGCTGTTTCACTCTCATACCGCTAGTTGTTCGACGGCGCTGACATCAACGGTGGTGGTCAAAGCATAGATGAGTATAAGAGAAAGGCTGAGGAATTACTGGAGTAGACCAGAATAAAGTCCATTTATGTTTCTTTTATCCTCTATCTCCTCTTTCATGTCGAACGTTATCTACAATTTTTTTGCTTTGTTGTTGCACATTTGCACAAAATTCATATATTTTTGACTAGGTGTTGTACCTTGATATAATAGGGGAAGTTTGCTTTGTGTTCGACTAATTTGTTCTTTTACTGCATGAGGCCTTATCAGTTTGGACAGTTAGGATCCGTTTGATTGAAAATGTGGAAAATGGATGGAAAGAAAATGTTTTATAGAGAATTGATTTGTCTAAAAATTGTTTTACTGAGAATTGATTTCCCTTTTATTGGGAATTGTAATTAATTGTGTTTGATTGGTATAATTTTTCATGGAAAATGTTGAAAGTTTGGTGTCCTTTTGACTTCATTTTTTATAAAAAATTGTCCATTAAAGTGATAATATTTTCTACCATTGGGTTTAGAATTTGTTCCAATTGCCAAAAAAATTGAAAAAAAATAATCATACCGAATATCATTCGTTTGACTTTATTTTGCATGGAAATTGTCAATAAAAGTGAAATTTTTTTTACCATTGTGTCTAGAATTTTTTTCAATTGTCAAAAAAAATACATACCAAAATACCAAGAATTTATTTTCCTCAAAATGGTGGAAAATTTGGAAAGTTGGAAAATATTTTCTCGAGAAAATTTTGCCTATCAAACACTACAAAAGTTGGAAAATGGATTTTCGTGAAAAATGTGTGCTATCAAACGGGGCTTTAGCTCTTTTTAAATTTTCCAATGTAGTTTTAAAACTGTGAATTTGTGATTCAGGAATCATTGTCTTTACCTGTTACATTTGTAATCTTATATATTACACATATATTTTTGTATCTTTTTTTCTTATTTAGCTATAATTTTGAGTTTCATATGTAAAATCTTTCATATGTGAACCAGTGTACTCCTCTATCTATTGAGACTAGTGGGTGCAGTGAAGATTGTTCATATTGGCCCTAGTCATCTAGATACAATACTGGCCTGAAAGCACAAAAGCATATGAATTCAGATGTTGTTATGGAGGCAACAAAAAATGTGAAATTTTGAGTTGATATACAATTGAAAAGTCTACTGCTTGTGTACCATGGCCAATAATTTACCTTCCTTGCTATTCAAATGCTGCGAGAAGAGTCCCTCGTGGAAACTAAGAGCTTTCAACATTGTGATTTATCTTTTATTTTTCAACTTGTTTAAATGCCTTATTTTTTGTGTTCTTTTCTCTCTTATTTTTGTTTTTCAATTTTATTTATTGATCCTAGTGGGGAACAGAGAGGGGACTCCCCAAATGTGCTTGTATTGAAGATAATAAACAGAGAGCCGAAGCAATTTGGAAGTTCTTTGACTCTGTAATCTAGGGGTGGCTTCACAGAGAGAACTAAGGATTATCCTGTATTTGATATTCGAGTAGGAATAGTCTAACTGTCCCATTGAGGACGTGCTTACAATCGTAATCAATGACAAGGTTGAGAGGTCAACAATCATGATTTAAGCCAGGGGAAATCAATGGAAACAGTTTTAGTACTAGAACACCTATTGAGGTGATTGACCTTTGGTTCAGATTTAAGAATGAAATATGCTTGCATCCACACACACAGAGAGACACGGAGCGAGCATTCAACAAACAGATAAATTTTTACTATCTCTAGTCCACATTCAACTGGTAGTTTACTTGACTGATTTGCACACAAAAGTATATTCATAAATATATACATATATGCATAAATTTTCTCGACCTTGTTGTGTAATCAAGGCCATTTACCTATTAGCAAGCAAAAGATGCTGGTAACACTCGATCTTGTATGGGTGCTATATGGAGAGACACGATAGGAAGGAAGACCAATTTCAACCAGATACTTGAGTATGTGAAGGAAATAAGGTAACGAGCTATTGCATACACAATTCTCTAATTAATTATGATTTTTTTGCGTCAAAGCTTGTTTTTCATTCATTTCACCCGTGCTGTTTTTCCATAATTATTATTATATGATATTTGATTCTACATTTATGTGTGAACTGTTGGGATTGATCAAAATAATTATGGAATAAAGAATTCTTGTTTGACAAGAAAAGGAAAAAAAGTGGTCAAGTTAAATTAGGAGTATTTTTCTTTATGGAAATATTACCAAGTAGAAAAGGAAAAGGATATTTTGGTATTATTATATAAGGAAAATAATTAAGAGAGTTCAATTGTAATTAGGTAACTTTTTGGCATAATTTATGGCTATATATACAATTGAAGTTGACGTGAAAAGAGGAGAAAAAAAAA